GTAGGCTTCTGTCTTCTCAATTTTATAGTCTTCTATGTTCAGTAATCTTATTATAAGTTTGTACTGAAATCTTATATGATACTGATTTTTTACATTTCTTTATATATATATAATATTACACTTTGCATAGTTGCTTTAAGCTTTCAATATTAAATAAGACCTAATTTAGTCTAAAATTACAGACATCTAAATTTAACTAATTAATAAGAGACAATTACTGTAATACAAGTATAATTTCCAAAATTTATCATCTATAAAAATTGAATCTTAGATCTATTACTTGAGAGTTGACAATTTATTTACTTTACTAGATTATTACATCTTTTTTTAAAATAATTTAATTTATATATATATTATTATTATATAATATAGAGGTGTGACAACCTAGTGAAGTAATCAAATTGTTAACCCTCAAGTGGCAGTCCAAAGTTCAAATCCTAGTGTTGATAGAAAATTTGAAAATCCTTTTTGTATTACATTTAACTGTTTTTTGTAATTGGTTGGGATAAGATACCTGTTACCTGTATCATATTAGCATGACTGGCAGGTCATATGACATTTGTGTAATAGTTACATGACATTGTCCTTTGGGATAAGGTCTGTGGTTATACAAAGAAATGCAAACCAATACTAAGTAGTACAAACTTATAATAAGTTTTTATAACTATATAAATCATAAGAACCAAAAGAAAGAAGACAGAAGCCTACTTGAAAGATCTGAGTAGAGAAGTAACCCAAACTTTCAATGATGTTACTATAAGACTAAACTTATGAAATGAAGCTAGAACTTGTGAAATCAGACAAATGTGTCAGTCTTTGAGAAGGAACCAGATGAACCAACCAGACTGTCAAAATTTCTGAATTTTAGAGAAAAATAATATCTGTTAACAAATATGTAAACTAGAGGTGTATGGTTTTGACCTACTTTTTTAGGCTATTTGGAATGACAACTTGGTGCAATTTGAATTGAATACCAAAGTAGTAAGAATATGTTGTAAAGTCAGTACTAGGATTAGAGTAAACTCTATAAAGACATAGCAGTTTAATAATATACTCTAACTGCCAGTATTGGTCTCAGTTATAGCAATACTAAGTCAGTTATAAGAATAAAATACAGAAGATTCTAAAAGGTTTAGTACAAGGTCAAAGGTTTTAAAGAACTGTTTTAAAGACTTAGTAATTATAATATATTTTTATTAGCATTAGTTAGAGTCATTGATAGGCAAAAGTAGATGGATGAATACAGAAACTAGAATAATTAAATAAGAAACCTACAAGCAGGTTCCAGGTATGGCAACTAGTGTAGAACCTTTAGATAGACTACTTAAATTAGACAATGACTAAAGTTGTATGAATGACTAGTTGTACACTCTTTTTATGATTATTTCCTGTAGTTGTAATATAACTATTAGCCAAATATATTATTAATAAAATCCTAGGTTATAGTATTCACCTTAATATTTAAAAAAAAAATTTATTATATAATATAAAACATTAAACAAAGGTATAACAATCTAATAAAGTAGTCAAATTGTCAACTCTTTAAATAGTAGATTGGATATTCAAATTCCATTAATGATAAAAAAAAATTTAGATAATTACTTATAAAATATTTATATTATAATAACTGTTACTAATAATTAAATTAAAATTCTTGTAATAGCAGTCATATCAGCATAATTAGCAGATTATAGAATATCTATATAATTAGTTATATAGAGAAATGTAATTAACAAATAAGTAGTATAAATACTAGATAAGTTCTTGTGATTGTGTAAATTTATTAAAATTAGATAATAAGAAATTTATTTAAAAAAGCCTAAATAGAGAGATAATCGGATCTTTAATAATTCTGATATAAAGGCTAGTCTAAAAAAACAGAGATCAAGATCATAATAACCAGATAATTAGGTTGGAAATCTCAAAGATATTACTAATTAGATTATTAAAATGAACTAGAAAAAAAAAATATTAAGCCAACCTGATATACCAATAAACTGGTTGTAGTTTTATATGAACTATCTGTATTGAGAGTTTAATAAAAAGATAGATAAAAAGACAAAAGTATACTAAAGTACTAAAATTATACTATAAAGTAGATACTGAGGTCTGTATAAACTCTACAAAGATATAGTAGTTAAATGATATAATTCTGACTACAAGTATTAGTTCTACTATAGTAATACCTAGATCAACTATAAAAATGAATACAAAAGACTCTGGAAAGTTTACTTTAAAGATAAAATAGTTCTAAAATTAAGACAATGATCTGAGTATCTAAGATGATCCAGTGATGTTAACACAGATTGCAGATTCAAAAGGTTTAAAATAAAACACCCAAACAGAGATATTAGATATAGCAATTGGTAAAGAAGCTTTAAATAGACTTTTTAAATAGATAATATAAAAAATTATATATGTTCCAATTGTATGCTCTTCTGTAGTAGTTTATTGAATCATATTGTCAAAAAAATTATTAATAAAAAGTCAAAAGATCAAAAAGGTTATTATAATATCAAAAAAAAAAAATTATTAAACAATTAAAAATATAAACATAAATATTAAGTATTAGTAAAAGTATAAGTGCAAAACACTAAGCATAAAATGCTAAACACAAGTACTAAACATATTTAAATATTATAACAATTACCAAATTTTTATATTTGTATTCATACTTATATTAAGTTTTTGTACTTGTGTTCATACTTATACCAAATTTTATACTTAAGTTTATACTTATATTTAAGCTTTTATATCTGTGCTTATGTTTGTATCTGAGTTTTTATACCTATACTCATGTCTAAATTTTTGTTGTACACAGGTACAAGCCTGACTTGTAAACTTTAATTGTTTTGTTTTTTTGTTATTATAAATTAAATAAACAACTTTTATCAATTTTTTATAAAAAAATAGATTAAACATTGTTTATATAACTTGCAATAAGAAAAATCAAAAACAATAGTAAATAAACCACTCGATACTTCAGATTAATGTTTAAATTTCACCAACGCGCAGTAATGAAAAGCTTGTAATTTTTTTATTTATATATACAGCATATTTATAAGTGCATAATGGAAAATTCATTTGATTGGTTGTCGATCATCATAGTAACACCATATGAGCTAGATGCTAAAAAAAGAAATATATATTATAAATCTTATAATAAATAATAAAATTTAAAGAGCTATACTGCAAAATTTTATTAATACAACTACTTTCGTATCTTAAGTGAAAAATAAACCTAATTGTATTCTAAATTGATTTATATAAAAAAAACTCTTGAAAAAAATTGTCATTTTCGGCCCTTTTCCTAACACCTAGCCCATATATAAAAATACAATCGATCATATGATAAATCATCAACGAATCTGATTATATTTGCCAGAATTTCATTGTCTGTTTGCTATATAAATTTATAACTTGCAAGTAGTAAGTCATAAATTTTTATAGCAAACAGACAATGAAATTTTAAAGAAATTTTATTCTTTGATACTCTCGCTTCTGACAAATTTGTCAGATTCGTCAGCAACTTGACTATATAATCGATATAGATAAACAGCCAATGAAATTTCAGGAATCGACAACCAATCAAATGGATTTTCAACCATGCTAGTTATAATTAGAAAAAAAAACAAATTTGAGTGTTGCCAAATTTTTAAATTGGCAATATATAATATGTGGTATCATTAAGATTAAATTGTTGGCGTTCAAAACTAACAGGTGAATGACCGAGAAATGTCTATACGTGATTTTAATATTTAGTTAGGCTAAATCTTTTAAGATGAATAATTACTGCATGCACCCAAAAAGTGAAATTTACCAATTGAAAAAAAAAGTTATAATCAGTAAAAGTTTTGATAATCTAGTTATAAATACGTACATTGAATTTATTACTTAATTCGCAACTTTGATATTGCAACATGTCTACATAGCTCCAATTTCGGAAATGATATGGGCAGGCATAAGTAAACATGCGTACACGCGGCCCATCTAAACTTTGTATATATTTTAGGAAAAAATTGATGGGACCCGCCCGCTTCCATAGTTGCCGTAAGCCAATAAATAATGATTCCAAACATTTATACATAAAAACTTTGGGCGTCTAGAGTGTTTATTACACATTTATACGACAACCTGACTTTAATAGAAAAGATCAACTGGGTTGTATGACACCGTTGTTCAAGCGCATGGAACACAAACATACCTTTGCATGACATCTACTGACTGATAGATGTTTCGAGCCATGGATTATCAATTTAGTAGTGAAAATTTCAGTTTCTTTATTCCATCTTCTAATGTACATTCATTAAATGTCACGCGATTTCAGATATAATTAAAACTAATAAAACGTTTCGGATAAAAACTGTATGACGCTAAGTGCTTTGCATATAAACGTTTAATTTTAACAAAGTTTATGCGGTCATAGACTGCAAATGTCAACTGACCTATACTCATGCGTGGGTTAGGTATTTAATGCGGGGGAAATTCACGCTGCGTCACGTTATTGCAGATGACCATCTTTACTACAGTACTATCACTTATTTATTTTTATGCAGGTAAACATGCTACAAATCCGAAATATATATATTGTTCTCGTCATTTCTCAATTTGGGAAGCTTCGTGTAACCATTGCGTAAATATCACGGTCATTAGGAAAGATACCTTCGCACACTAATTCCCATTTCCTTAATTTGAAAGCAAGTTTTTGGCAAATTTGTGACTACAATTTGTTTTTATGTTTCATGTTAGTTATACCGTGTCAGCCGGATTTCATGACTTTGTGTACGTACTTATTTGATCCAGCCGCCTCAATTTTTCAGCCAAAGTCCTTTTTCACACAAGTCTAAATGTAATGTTTAAATATAAATTATTGTGAGCCTTGAAATCCTTTTCACCGCCATTTTTTCGAATTGTCTAATCTTTATTTTTCTGCGCGAATTATTATTTTCTTAGAGATATATATATATATAAATAAAATTAAAATAAAATTAAAATAAAAGATGTCAAAAGTTTCTCGAAAAGATGGTAAAAAGCCTTATTATTCCTCAAATTCTCTTCCTGACCACATTAGGATTCGAGAATTCCAACAAAAAGATATTGATGAAGTTCAAAGGATTTATGCTAACTCAATGATGGAGTAAGTTTCTTTTTTTTATCATTTCGTCAATGAGTCACTCTCATCTAATTATTCTTTTATTCCATTATTAGTAATGTGCCATATGCTATTGGGGATATCATGCAGCATCGTTATCTTCTTTGTTTATGGTTAGGTTTAACATATTTTACCGTAAAGAACCACAGTAATATACATTTACTATTTATGCTCCTCGTTTTTATCGGTTGGGGTTTTTTCCTCTACGTTAATGTTCGACGAATTATAACAAGTACAATTTCCTATGAAACACGACATGCAATTCATACTGATTTGTCTAGAATTTCAGAAAAATATGGAAGTGGCACCATACAACAACTAACAAAATCTGATAAACACCATTCACAAGAAAATTTATTTGACCAACCTTTTAATGATCGTATCGCGAGATTTTGGGTTGCTGTTGATAAAGAAGCAGGAAATAAAGTGGTAGGCTTTCTAGAAATTGTGGACAATGAAGATGAAGATCCTCTAAGAAAAAAATATATTATGGAATCATATGCACCTCATATAAAGCATTTATGCGTGGCTACAAATTATAAAAGACAAGGAATCGCTACTGCATTATTGAAACATGCGATAAAGTTTATACATAAAAAGAATGCAAAAAGTCTAGGAGTTCTTACATCTACTTGGCAAGAACCAGCAATGGAGATATTTTATCGTTTTGGATTCATAGAGGTAAAGCGAGGAACTATGGCCTATGGATTTGTTGAATGTATAAAACTCAGACTTGATGTTGAACAATGGATTAGGTGCCGTAAAGCACGTAAACATAGTTCATCTATTAGTGACGCGTAATCGTCATAATTTCATGATTTTAACATATGAAAGTTCCGAATTTGGTATCGTCAATCAGGGTTGAAACGCGCCATGGATAAAGTAATTGTAACACATCAAATGTTCTATATGCATCGACATGAATGCATTTATATAACTTGTGTAGAATTCTTAGAATTTTAGATATTCTTTGGTATATTAGTATTAATTACACGTACGTACATTAGTTTGTCTATCATATCCCGTACCGTATTTATTATTGGGTACAAGGACAATATTCGATTAATACATTGTAAGAAAGATTTATGTTATGATTTAATTTCTTATTATATTGTAAATGAGACTCTTATTTTAATTTATTAAAAGTTTTAAATTTATTTTAAGTTACTACTACATTGTAAAATTTTGAGCTATGACACTTTAAGTCATTAAAATTAAAGCTTGCTATCTTGTGGCTCTGAAGAGATTTAACTTCTTACTAAAGTTGTCTGCCATAATAGGTTTACTGGAGTTGGAAGATTTCAACCTTTCGTCTCGAAGTTGTAATTTTTGGTCGTAATGGATACAATAATTGATTATGCTAATAAATAATTGCACGATATAATTGTGTAAAATAGATAATTACGAAATTAAAGAATATGAATTGCAAAAAAACAAGTACATACGTACATAACAGGATACACATATAGGGTACCAATAACCATGCACACTTCTAACTATACTATATATTAAAGCTCTACTATACGTCTGTCTATGTTAAAAATATTCTTATTAGCTTGCTTATACAAGCATACAAAGCATGAATCCTTTCAAAAAAAAAAAAAAAAAAACAGATTTTGATTCTTTGAGTTTATAACTTAACGGCCAAACCTCTAGAAAATTTGATTGAATAATAGCGATTGTAATAATTAAATTTAGTTATGTATCGAATGGTCAGATTTTTAGGGACTAGGTCATTAAATTATAAACTCAAAAACATCGATTTTTTCTGATGGCACCTAAATGCAAGTTATTTGTTATCGTTAAATTTGTTAAGCTATCACACGTCTATAAAGACGTGCAAGATACAATTACTTATGTATTTATGACAATTACAACGATTATGGCAATTACACCCATTACGCTATATTTACAACTTTGAGTATTTGTTGTAATTAGGGTTGCAACCCAGGATGTAATTCGTAATGTCTGTAGTTATTGTCGCAGCTAATGCTGGAATTTGGAATCTTGATTTGAAAATATAAGCCCTGCTAAAATCCACATATACATTTTAATTATCAATTCTAGCCCAAGGTCCTAACCCAATCCTAAAAAAAAAACGTAAAAAAACACTAAAAATTTTCAAATTTTCATATCAAAATAGATCCAAATTTCAGTACTACTTCTTACCGTTATATTGCCACTTTAAATATCCACATCTGGCTCACCGGCAAAATTCTCTTATGAAAAAAAAAAATTTATTTTATCAAATTAACATGTATATGTCGTGAGAAATGAATTAGTGTAGCTAAAACTGAGTTGCACTGTTACGCGTCAAATTCTGATTAACGCAGAATATATATGTGGATCTTTGCAGTGCTCAAACTCCATATATAATATGTAGTATTTTTGAGTTAGAGATTTAACCTGCTTGTATATATATTATAATAAAGATCGATTAATGAGTAGGTACCCTTTCTACTGCAAAGACCCACATCTAAATTTAGAGTTCTATTATTGCATGTTTTTAGTTTCTCTATCGAATATTTTGGATATTCTTTAATATCTAATAATTCCCACGTATTCACCTGAACATTATAAATTACCATATCGCGCTGATTACAGGACCCGGTCTAATAAAAAATACTCAAACATAAAATACCCGGGACATTTTGATCGATGACGGGTATATTGTATGTATAATGGAGAAATTTATAGGTTATATGTGAATCATACCATATAAATACTGGCCATTCTTGATAAAAAAAAAAAAATGCTATGTGTAAAATACACATATATATCTACATGAGGATATAAAAAATGAATATTTTATCAGTGCAATACGGTATTTAATATTCCATTATTGAACCCAAGACAATACAGTCAGACCTCTCTATAATCACACTTTACATAATCACATCTCTATATAAGCGCCTAATTTTGTTAAACAAATTACCATAAAAATATATAAAAAACCTCTATATAAGCACAACCTTTTTATAAGCACATTTCTAAAAAAAAGTTACTATCATTCCAACTACGTGATTATAGAGAAGGTTTACTGTATTTAAATGTTAAATCTGTCAAAGTATGCATAGGTACGGTCATCCAAATTCATATACATATATATTAAATAAAATTTTATGTACTCTTAACTATATTCTATTTTTTTTTAATATTAATGATAAGGCTATGTTTCTATCTTTATTGATCAACTATATTCATATAACATATATTTAGTAAAATTTATATAATATTTATTTATAAAAATATTATTTTATGGTAATCTGTTACCATGAAAACCTGGATATAAAAGATTAAAAACTAAGAAGACAGAAATCTACTTGGAAATTCCTAAGTAAAAAGGTAATACAAACTTTTAATAATGCTGTTGAATTAATAAAAGTTTATAAACTATTTCAAAAAAACAGATAGATAAATTTTTTTTTTTTACTTCCTTTTATTATCCTGAAGGTTCTTAGACATTTTTAGAATCTATCACATCTCTTAAAGATCAAAGTTATCATTCTGTGAAGATCATCAAATGGCATATGGTCTTTGCATGTCACTGAACTCATGAGATAACTCATGCTTCATCAAGTCTGCTATATTATGTTTCAGATTTCTGGTTCTGCAGTATAAGACTTATTATCTTTTTCAGTTTGCAATTTTCTAACTTTATATGACCTACTAATCAGATTATTTGTATATTTCAAAGTTCTTAATTCTACTGTTATGTATTTTTAAATCAGGCTCTTTTAATGTTAACATCATTTGTTGATGAATTACATCTTATCTGATTATCTCTAATCCTGTGGTTATGCTGGTAACTACATTCATTTTGTATAAATCTTATTCTTGTTTTTAAATAAAAGTTCTTTGTAGATTTTTTTTTCAATTATAGTCTTGGCAGAGTTGTTGTTACTTTTTGAACTCAAACTTGTGACCTTGTAATTGAGACCTGGAAGTACTAACTATTATACTATTGATCCATAAGTTCAAATAGATAAATTAAATAACAAAGTATATAAAAAAAGCATATAACTAACTAGATTGTTAAAATTATTAAAAGAAAAGAATACAAAAGTATATTACACTATGTTATCTAAATTAGTAGTTTGAAGAGTTTATTAGTTTTAAATAGTAGTTAATAAAAGATAATAAAGAAGATGTTAGAAAGGTAAGTACTGAGATTTGAATAAATTTTACAAAAATATAGCAGTTTAATAGTTAGTCTTAATTGCAAGTATTAATTTTAGTTATAATAATACTAAGTTAGTTATAAATATAAATACAAATAACTTTGATAAATTTAATATAAAATCAAAGATTTCTTGTATAAATAAATTACTTTAAAGATTTTATAATTATAAAATATTTGTATTAATAATAACTAAAATAGTTAATAGAATATATAAATAAATAAATACAAGAACTAGAATATTTAAATAGAGAATTTACAGATAAGTTTTAGGTATAATAACTAGTATAAAACCTTGATACAGACAACTTAAATTAGATAATAATTAAGGATAAGAGGTAATGTAGATCATTTCTATATAGAAATGTATAGTATTTTAAAATTTTCATCTAAAATTGATATATGCTACTAATAAACCTTTTTTATTTTTTAATTAATCAATAAAAAAATTTTATATTTATATAAATAAAATTATTTATCTATGATAGTAAAATTTTGAAATATATATTATTATAAAAAAATATATTTGTATATATTACAAAGTTTTCTAGAATCTTTCAAAATTTGTCAGTATTATACAAAATTATTAGATTTGATTAGTTAATTTATATAATCCTATAAGTTAACTTAATAAATTTTTATACCTAATCTTTAAAAAGCCATATCTTCTTGAGTTTTTACTTAATATAAATAATTTTACTATGATTAGATCAAAAAAACCTATTCTACAAACTTTTCTTATAAATTAAAATTAGTTTAGTTAATATAATTTTTTATAAAATTAAATATAAAAAAAGTTACTATTAGGTTTATATATAATTTTAAAATATTACCTTCTATTTTTAAAGTTATATAAATGTCTAGTTATATACTTTTTTTATAATTAATTTCTATAATTATAATATAACTATTTGTTAAAATATATTATTAATAAAATTTTGAATTATAAATATTTATTTTAATATTAAAAAAAATTAATATTATAATTTTGTTTTTATAATTTATTAAAACTATTAATCAAATATAAAACTTTGTAAAAAGTTCAAATACAGATATGAATTTGAAATAAAAAATTTTTAGAAAAAGATCAAATAATGAAATATAGACATTATGTATAATAGTAGTATTTTTTTTTTTTTAGTATTAAGGTGACCTCTTTGGTCTTTTGACTTTTATTAATAACTTATCAGTATTGTGGTTCAATGAACCACTACAGAAGAGCATACAATTGGCTATATGTGTAATTTTTTTATATTACCTATTTAAGGAGTCCACCTGAAGGTTCCTTACCAATTGCTGTATCTAACACTTTTGTTTAGGTGTTTTACTTTAAACCCTCTAAACCTGTAATCTGTATTAACATCACTGGGTTATTCCAGATGCCCAGGTCATTGTTTCAATCTTAGAACTAATTTATCCTCAAGATAAACCTCTTAGAGTATTCTGTACCTATTTTTATAACTAACCTAGATATCACTATGGCAGAACCAACACTTGTAGTCAGGGTTAACTATTAAACTACTATGCCTTTGTAGAGTTCACACAAATTCTAGCATTTACTTCACAGCATATCCAAAATACTTTAGTATACCTCTGCTGGTTCACCAAACTTCCAATTCAG